AAAGGAATTACCGTATTTTTCGCACTATAGGGCGCACCAAAAAGTCTTCCATTTTCTTAAAAGCTCACCGAGCGCCTTAAAATCCGGTGCGTCTTTTGTATGGTCATTACGGTAATACGTTGACTCCAAGATGGCTCGTTCCCGGTGAACTGTGTCGATGCTTTATTAAATCAGTTTGTGTTGCAGTTCCGAAAAAAGGAGAGCTGTGGTGTTAATTTTTTAAAACACTCTGAACAAATACAGGTACGTCATTGTCTGTCTCCGTGCCTTCTTCCGTTCGACTCGAGAAGCGTTCAAGACCGCCTCCGAAAAACGTAAACTCACGATTACTTCAATGAAACTACAAAAATTGAAAATAATACATCAAAATTGAAAAGCAAGTGAGGATATCACAAAATCAATTCTATAGCCCCCGCCCCCCATCAGAATGTATCTTGTGATTTCATCATTTGTGAATACACAACAAAGGAATAAATAACTACGACTGACATCTTGTGTTGTTTTGACTTCAAGATGGCGCCGCGAGAGTGGCTGCCTTTCCAGCAGCTCCTATTTATTTTGTTCTTCTACTGCTTCCTCTCATAACTTTGCTGCTGAAGTGGGCATTTCTCCATTGTGAGACTATTAAAGGTTTTCTTATCTTATCTTATCTTATCTGGTCGTACTGTTTGAGCTACGATAAAGGAAATGCCAATGCGTTTTTCGGAGGCGGTCATGAACGGCTCTCGAGTTGACCGGAAGAAAAGAAGGGAAGAAGACGGACAAAGACTCACCTGTATTTGTTGAAAAAAGGAGAGCTGTGGTTGTGGTTTTATTATTTTTTTAAACGCAGATTTTATTAATGGTTTTCACAGTCTCAGCAAATACAGGTACTGTATGTCTTTGTCCGTCTCCGTGCCTTCTTTCGTTCCACTCGAAAGGTGTTCATGGCCGCCTCCGAAAAATTTAAATTAATTCTTACCTCAATGAAACCACAAAGTAAATTCTGTCGAGGGGGAATATAGAATTTATTTTGTGATTTCCTCACTTGATTTTCTGTTTTGATGCATTATTTTCAATTTTCGTAGTTTCATTTAAGGACAGTAATAGTTAATTTACATTTTTCAGAGTCAGTCATGAACGCCTCACAAGTTGAACTGACGCCTCTCGAGTTGAATGGAAGGAGCGACGCACCATCTAGTGGAGGCATTGTAGATTGCGCCTTTTAATGCGAAGCGTCTAATGTATGAAAAAAAATTTACAAAATTGCCATTCATTGAAGGTGCGCCTCATAATCACATAAGCACATATCAACGAACAAAAGTTCGCGCTCACACTCACACCTCAGGACAATTTAGAGTGTTCAATGAGCCTGCCGTGCATGTTTTCGGAATGTGGGAGGAAACCGGAGTACCCGGAGAAAACCCACGCACGTATGGGGTGCGTAAAAATACGGAAACGCCACATCGGAAGACTGGAACCGGAATCGAAGCCTGCACCTTTGCACTGTGAGGTCGGCATGCTAACCAGTCGACCACCGTGCCACAATTAATAAGCAGCTGTATTCAGTTGTGGTTTCACGGTATTAAAACGTTATCGATTGCATTTTGTCACTAACTCCCTTTCTGATTAAGACATCTGTCTTTGATCATTGTTCGTTACTTTTAATTCACAAGACAGATGTGTGTCAGTCCAGAACGCATGTGAGGATGGTGACAGGCAGCTGTCTTGTCAAGCTTCTGCAACATCCCCTCCAAATAACTTGACATACACCCGGTATGTGGGTGCTTTTGTGAACTATTACCATAGAAAAAAAGGGTTCTGGGTAAAGGTGCCAGAGGCTATAGCATATATAGGCATCCTTCTTCCTGCTATGACTACTCATGTGATTTTTACTACGCACCATCATGAGCTTCCTGTCGTGTCCCTGGATCTGAGTTCTCTTTGACATCGGTTGAGGTGGCTGCACATCCTCTTCCTATTGAAATATTCACAGTCAGAAATTAGAAAACGTATTTTTACACTGACATGAAAGTAAAAGAAAATATGCTGATACATAAAGACATGCACACTGTAGCGGACAGAAAGACAGAGAGAGAAAGGAATAAATGGAAGGGGATGACTTTAAAAATATCTTAATTTACATACCAGTGACAACAGAGTCCAGTAATTGCGAGACTGTCTCACGATCCCTCGCTAACTAAAATGATATGATACGCACAATTCAAAACAACTTTAACCCAACTTTTCATTCATGAAATATGTCTATGAATCTGGAAATGTTCCATATTATACACTGATAAAAAATGTTAGAGGGTAAAATGATTGTCCTGACTGAAACGAGACTAAAATATTGAGTTTTTGCTGACTAAAAGTAGACGAATAAAATTGTTCTGTTGGATAAAAATAATGACTAAAATGCTCGACTCATAGTCAACTAAAACTTGACAAAATAAAACGTCATGAGGCTGACTCCATATGATTGAAAAATATAAGTGTGATTGAAATTGGGCTCAAAACTGACACCATGTAAAAATGGCTGATTAAAATTAACACTACTTCCAACATATTTAATGTATTTACAAATGCACAGAAATTACTTTAAAAGGTCTTTAATATGGAACAAAATGGCTTATTTCCAACTCATGCCTGGCTGCAAGAAATTGGAAAACGGATGGTGTGTGAAATTAAGCAACTGGCATTAAAAACATAGTAAGACAGCTCGCGTTGGCCTGCAATCCGCCTCATTCATTCGTTATATAAAAAAAATAAATAAATAATACATTTTTCTCGAGAAAAAATGGCTTCTGGCGAGACTAAACCAGCCTAGTTTAGTATACTGTAATAGAGTGAGCCGTAGCACTGGTTCATTTGTCTACTCATTTCAATTCGGTCGGTAAACTAACAATTTCTGTCTTATTTTTGCCGAAATAAAACAACAATAAATACAATGCGATGCGGCCTTGCCGTAACCGCCTGAGCGCAGGCCATATGCGCAATGTTGCTAAATGGCTGCGTTCTCTTTTTAGTTCGCCGTGTTTCTTCGTGTAGAAAAAAAAAAAACCTTTGTTGATGAAAAACTTCCCTCACTGCTTTCATTAACCAAATCCACACGGTCAAGGTCATTAGATTTCATTTGTCTACATAAAGCAGCTTTAAATTAAACTCGATTTACGGCCCATCGCTAACGGACACCTAGCCTGCAGCTAGCGACAAGTCCGTCGGCGCTCAGGACGAAGATTGTTCAGACGACAAGCTGGACGCTCGCATTCGCCGGTACCCGCCTCACGACAAAGAAAAATGATTACTTACCTGAGCATTGTCATATCTCTCTTTTCGCTCTAAGCACTGTTGGTGGTGCACCTGGTAAAGGGCGAGTCTTCGTAGGAATCTCTCCTTTCGTTCTTCCTCCATGTCTAAAACCCAACGTTTGTCCGGGTACCGAAGTGTAAGTGCCACGCGCGCGCCAAAATGTATCACGTGAACACCACGTGAACACCACGCTCCTCCGTCCTTTGATTTCGATTGCTTCTTAATTGATGCGAGGGGGGAGAGGAGGATGGGCGGAGCAGCAACTGCGGAGCGAAAACTCAACTTAAAATATGATTAACCCTTTCATGGTCTTCTCACTTTAACGTTTCATATTAACCATCTACGATGGTTTCATATTAAACAATCAGAAATTCACACAAGTTCAAAAAACTATATAAAGTATAAAAACTGTAACAACATTTCAAAACACTCCAGTTATTAATTGATCTATTAAATAAATTAAAACAAATAAAAACATCCGCACTGTTTATGCATGTTCTGCTTCAGTTATTACTGTTTGGTATATTGTCAAAGCTGTTCCATATTTATGTTTGTCCATTTTTCCTATTTCCAAGACGACAACTTCACTTCAAGAAGTTGACTGGCTCCCTTCTGCATCCCCCATTTAACATTGCTGCCATTGAAACCTTAAAGGCCAAGTGTGAAGTAAAGTTGGCCAACCATGTTTTTGAGTAATATCAATGGCTGAACAATTATAAGCATATTTCTGTTTTTTTTTTTTAACGCAACCCTTCCAAATTCTTTGTTTAACCCTTAGCAAGGCCCTTGACAACGAAAATGCTTTTCTTCGGCAATCTCCGTAAATCTTCAGAAATTATGTCACATGGAGAACTGCGAGGGAAGTCAGCCATTGAACAGCATTGTTGCATTGCTTGTTGGTAAGATCCCACGCGGTGTGTGGTGATGTATTGTTCGCAATCGACAGAAAAGGTGTACCAGTGGCCGAAGGATAGCAGGGCACGTAAATGGACATCTTTTGTTCGCACGAAGCGAATGAATTTCTCGCCATCATCGACGAGTGTTCTCTGCTATCTCCACTTCAAAGATGCCTGCTTTCTCAACCGGTCTGCTTATGATCAAGGATTTGCAAAAAAGTAAGTGTGAATTTTGGATAGATGATGATGATTTTGTCAAAGCGTAAGTGTGATTTTTGGATAGATGATGATTTTGTCAAAGCGTGGCTGCCAACTCTTGTGGAATGAACAGGAGAAGCTCGCAACGTTCGTTTTCAGCTCGAGGCAAACCCCGATCGATGCTATTCATATCAGCGATGAGTAATAATGGCAGTCAGACAAATTGTTTTGGAAGCACATTTCAATAGTACAAGTCAAAAAATTATTTGCTAAAAAGAATAATCAAGTACCGAGGAGGCTAACTGCTTGAACATGAAGTCTGATTTTTTATTTTTTAATTTTTTAAACAATGTCATCAGATAGACAAAAAACATCAAATTATGTGCACATGCCTGCATCTTCAAATCATAAAAATAATACCAGCCTATATCTTATCAATCTTGTCATCTTGATGGGTCTTGTCTCCATTCCATGTCAGGTCGTCTGGGCACATTGTTTGCATCCTAATTAGCGTCTGGCTCATACATGTAAGGTCCAACATGTAAAATTCCAACCTCCTCTTCTTCCTCCAACTCTTCAAAAGTTGGATATCCTCACTTGCACTCGATCTATCGCTTGTATCGCTGTTTGAATCATTGTTTGAAATGCTTTGCATCTCGGCCGTATGGAGGTCTGCCATCGCTGTTCTCCATGTGACGTAGCACTTCCGGGTTACTCCCCTTTCAGGCTCGAACTTCGGAAAAGCGATTATTTTGTCAAATACTGTATACAACATATAAATATTTTTTTCATGCTTTATTTGGTGGACAATGTTGAAGTACTTTCATTGTCACCCTATTTGGCATTTCATGACATTACTTCACACTTGGCCTTTAATGGAACACTCAAAATTTTATCTAGGTGTGAGTGTGAGCCCAGGTGGTTGTTCCTCTACGTGTGCCCTGCGATTGGCTGGCAACTATGTCAGGGTTGACCCCGCGTATTTCCTGAAGACAGCTGGGATAAGCTCCAGCATGCCTGCAACCCTTGTGAGGACAAATGGATGAGAAAATTGATGGATGAATGGAGCTTGCGGGATCCATGCTCGGATAATTCTGTTATGTTTCAGAACAGTCTGGAACAGGAGCGGATCCCACAAATGCAGACGAGGATAACATGGAGTACAAAAAAAAAAAGTTTACTGACAAAATATAAGGTCACGAGACTGACAAAATAGAACATAAAACACTGATAACAGGATCATAACAATACCTACAAAAGCGCTTGCAAATGGCAAGGGAAACAAAAGAATGCGAAATAACTTCTCGAAAAAGGGCAAGAAAAGCCAAAGAAAAACCAAAACACGCGGCGACCACACAACAAAACAAGACTCGGTCAAAATGGAACAAACAAGGGGATATTGAACCAGACAATGAGCGAGATCGAGGAAGGTGGAGAAAACAAGCACTTCGATGAGAGTCGTGAGCAAGGTGAATAACCTGACAATTGGAAATAGCTTGGCTCTCCGTTTGAACCAGGCGATTATCATGACATTAGGTAAAAGGTGAGGAGCGGTTGGAACAGCCCTCCTATACCACCTACTGGAGACAAACTGGACCATGACACTTCCCTGGAGTGAGATATCAAAATGTGAACCTCAAAACGCAAGATATGGGTCAAAATTGACTTTTGGAATAACTGTTTTCAAGGTGCGAAGGCTACTTTGAACTGGGACGTCCGAGTGACGAAGTCTCACGGAAAAAAATGGACCCCACATTCACGGAGGGATTTCAGTGTGACGTCACTCCTCAGAAATAACCCCCACGTAGACACACGAGGTTTGTATAGGAACAAATACAGATTACTAAAATCAAATATTCCAGATTTTAATTTGTCGTGGCAACCAATAGAAAACAATCGTCTCGCCAGCTACAAGTGGCTGTTTCGACTTGTGATGCTGAATAGTGTTTTCACCACCACTGCACAAGGGACAATGATGTATTTAACCGAATTGTTAAATGGCATGGTAAAACAAGATACGGAAAATCAAGTTGAGCAATAACTCAGTGAATAGACAGAAATCTAAACACAATTGATGTTAGATTTTACTTCATTCAGGAAGCACTTCACAATGGAAAGATAGATATTGCATATTGTGAATCGGAAAATATGGTTGCAGAGTTATTGAGAAAACCATCAGATAGGATTACTGTTGGAGTCACCTGGCGCTTTAAGAGGGGCGGGGCTGCCACTGACAGGTGGCCATACGTGCGACGTTTAAAAAGCAGCATCGCATTATGGTTCCTTAGTGAATAAACTCGCGTCT